GTCTGTGACTTGTTAGCAATAAATAAACAGCACGCATTTCACTTGTTTTCAAAATAATATATATATTCGGAACAAGTTAAACGTATGTACAAATTCTTTATACTACAGAAAATACAGACATATCATAAACACTATTTATATATAGTTCTCTTCTTGTTGTCAAAAGTCCACTTAGGCCTTTTCAATTATTTTAGTATTTCAATTGACGAACTATCTTCTCTATTACTATCGCACTAGTATTCTGTGTGTGATTCACTTACAATTGTGGCGCGAGTTACCGTAATCGTTTGTTCTTCTTTCTTCTAAATCTCTTCTGTTCCTTTTGTCAAAGTGCACTCAAACTGATTCAATTACTTTAGAACCACGCTTTGACGGAATAAATTATTCTTCTTCTTTCCTTTTATACTGTTAGTCTTACTCTAACATATTAAACGTTAGGCCTATCACTTTTACGGTAGTTAACTTCACGCCGAACTTTTCCTTGCCCATAACTTTCCTCTCTTCTGCTGTTGTCTGTCTGTTGTTTCCACTTGTCTCACACTATTTATATGTTTACCACTTAATCCTCTGTCCGACTTCTAGAAATCTCTACACTCTCGACGTCAATGTATTGCACGCGACGTTCGATAGTCTCAACATCAATGACTTATAAACACAACTTCTTACAATCGTCTGCTTTTAACTCTTATAATAACAAAAACTAAACAATGATGAAATATTCACTCACAAAAATAAATTAGTCAATAATATCTAAACTAAACAGTCTTTTATATCATGACAGTAAACTAAAGAAAATGTATAATGATGAAAGCTGAGATTCTATTCAAACACCAAGCCTTCAAGAGACAAAGTGGGGGAAGCCAGTAATGTAGGGATTTTATTATCCATGTAAAGTCGAGACAGCTTAATTTGCCCTGTGATCATTAGTCGAATCAAGTGATATGTCCACTTGCATCCCTATCTTGTTTGGTTTCTTTTTTTCAAGTTTAGTAGACAGCCTTACATAACTTTTTATTTAGCGATATTTTTCCCCTAATACTTGTACAAACTAGAAGAAATAAGCTCAAAGGAAGGATTATATCTGACTTATTTGGCATTTTTCTTTTCTTACAATGCGTGCCGTCGAAACTTATGTTCTGCGAGATGCTATCTGAAGTAACAGTAAAATTCAAATATTCTGCAGAAGCCATGTTACGGTTTCGATCTGCAGGACACTAACACGATGTGGAGAATACTTGATATTGGTTTGGCACGCAAAGGTTCGTTCACATCGCTGGTGGCGTCAGTTTTCATGTGACAATGAGCGCTATAATACAGAGCTGATGAAGAGAATATTTACACACAGAAAAACTTACCACTGTAGCAGTTTTACAAAAATTAATCGTTAGTGAGAGACGTTAGACGAAACGAAAATGCGTGTTGAATAAGATGTGTTTTCCTATTGTAACCAAAATGGCAAATGCAGTTAATAGATATACAGGATAAATTACTTTGTTACATTATAACCCATGTTCATAAACAACAGAACAGAGGCGTAGCCAGGGGTGGGCGGGGGGCGACCCCCATGAAAAATTTAGGTATATTGATCACATATTATTTTCCAGTTTTTCCATATAATAAACTCGCTTTGTATCATTTAATAAAAAAGTATAAAACTTCTATAAACACTATTACATTTGATTTGTTTCAATGAATATTTTATTAAAAATTTAGATCAATTTCAGCTTTTGAATTTATTGTTCCCCCTTAAAACACTGCAACAGAAGTAACGATAAAAGTCTGCGGACTTACAACGCTAGAATCCGGGTTTCGATATCCCTAACATCAGCAGGGATAGAACCGCGAATTTTAGTTTTATAAGTTTCAAACTTATCGTTGAAACACCAGGGGCTTTTGGATGATATATTGCAAGGCATTAATGTACAGTTTTATTAGATATGTAATTAGTGGTATGCAATTGGTATCTTTGTTCTTTCGTTTGTTTGAACATAAAACAATTCAAAAAATAAAAAAGGAGATATTTGATTAGTTTTTTAGGAGTTCGTAATTTGTTTGTTTTACCGCAAAGCTGAAAAATGGGTTTTTCTACATTGTGCACACTGCATGAATGGAGCTACGAATTTTAGCGTTATAAGCTTACAGATTATCTCTGTGAACGAAAGTTTAAGAGCAGTATTTCATATATTAGCATTAGTGTTCCTACTATACTAATATTATTATAAAATTATATACAAGTCTTTTGGAAGTAGCGTGATCTGGCGTGGCCTGGCGGTCAGGGCGCTTGACTCATAGTCTGCGGGTCGCGGGTTCGAATCTGTGCATTTCAAGCATTTCAAAGTTTCTCATTAACAAATACATACACACATATATATATATATGTGTAACTCGACAAATAAATAATTGGTTTCACTTTTAGAGCAGCTTTGGATGGGTTTTTTTATGTCACGTTTAACAGAAACTTTGATCAATAATACAGATAAAGGCTGCTATTGTTACTACCATCAATTCAGCAACGTAACTGTCAAGTCAGTGAAAAAAATATATGCTTTACTAATATCAAATACAGTACTGAGACTGAAATAAGAAAAAAAACATTCTGGGGCAGAAAATTAAGCGACTATATATCGATTAGAACATTAACCGTCACCTAGTTTGGATGATGTATGATATTATGTCATTGAACAAGAACATTTGATGTTGTATAATATGGATATCTGAGTGGTATGACGTTACCATGGATACGGATATCGAAGTGGTATGACTTAACCATGGCTGTAGACATCTGAGTGGTATGACTTAACCATGGCTGTGGACATCTGAGTGGTATGGCTTAACCATGGCTGTGGACATCTGAGTGGTATGGCTTAACCATGGCTGTGGACATCTGAGTGGTATGGCTTAACCATGGCTGTGGACATCTGAGTGGTATGGCTTAACCATGGCTAAGGATAGATAAGCGGTATGGCGTAACCATGGATACGGATATCTAAGTGGTATGGCGTAACCATGGCTATGTATATCTAAGTGGTATGGCTTAACCATGGCTAAGGACAGATACGTAGTATGTTTTAACCACGATCAAGGGGACCTGGTGTTGGATGTCTTTCTACGTGTCCTCTTTTTAGTACATGATACTTCAAAGCACAAACTCAATATCATATTTCACATTATTTAAACAAATGTTTGGGTCCACACTGCAGTATAAATCTGTTCTCAGTGATGGAAGGTTTCCTTGATAAAATCAGGAATAAACTTAAAAATAATAAACTGACGGTGATGAAAGGTCCTGATAAAGTCTCACTGACGAAACGACAGATTAATATGAAAGAAAAATTTGTCGATGGTGAAAGCTTTCCTTGGTAAAGTCTCATTGGCGAAACGTCAGGAATAAACCGAAAGAAAAATCTAAAGGTGACAGAAGGTTTTCTCGATAAAGTCTCACTGACGAAACGACAGATTAATATGAAAGAAAAATTTGTCGATGGTGAAAGCTTTCCTTGGTAAAGTCTCATTGGCGAAACGTCAGGAATAAACCGAAAGAAAAATCTAAAG